ATAAAAAGAATGAAATTATGGCATTTGCTGGTAAATGAATGGAACGGGAGGCTATTCTACTAAGTGAATAAGCCAATTCCCCAAAGGCAGAATGTCCTCTTTGATATGTGGATGCAAAGGAGGAGAAGATTAAGTTCCTTGGACTAGACAAAGGGGAATGAAGGGAAGGGGGGATGGGAATAGAAAAGACAGTAGAATGAATCAGACATATCTTTTCTACCTGCATATATGAATATGTGACCAATGTACTCCACATCATGCACAATCACAATAATGGGATCCTAATTGGAACAAGTTATACTTATTCTATTGTGTATAATATTTCAAAATATCCTGTCCTGTAAAAAAATAAAAGAATATCTGTCTATCTATCTATCTATCTATCTATCTATCTATCTATCTAAATGCTCATCCACAGGACAAGGGAAGATGGTGTTCAGTTCAGGGGCCCACACAGCCCTCTGATCTCAGAACAGAGTCACCCTTAACTCTGGGCTGTGTATTCCTTCTCCCCAGAACTTCACCTGACTCCCACATCTTCATCGTGTCTCATTTCCCTTCACTAATTTAAGAAATCCCAGTCCACCAAGCCCTGTGCCAGGCGTGGAGGAGCAACAGATTAAAGGATCTTAAGGAATTCACAAGAAAGATTGTCTGGGGCACCACTGGGCCCCAGAGCTGCCTCCTTTAACTGCGTTTGCTTCTATACAAGTTAAGTGCCATAGCAAAAGTAAGCCTTCACCCAGTGCCCAGCTCTGCTGAGTTCAGGAAAGGTGGTGGATGGAAATCATCCCACTGCGTCTGGGCTCCCCACATCCTGCACTCAGTCATCTTATACCTTCTGTCCTAGGTGCTGGGCTGTCACTCTGGCCCCACCTGGAAGTGGGCTTGCGGGAACTCCACCTGGGCCTTGCTCAGCTGGGTGGGGGAGGGAGGAGCACAGCTTCCCCTGCTGACAAGGGAGATCTTGTAGTTTCCACCGTCGCAGCTGGGGTCAGCTATACCAGGGAACCCTGAGTTCGCTGCCAGCTCACCATTGATCTTTGCTTATCGCATATAACATTCTCATAAAAGAGCTAGGGTTTTCCCCAGACTTCGTCAGAACCCAAATGAGGTTGGGGAGGGGAGTTAGCTGGATATGTGTTCAGCCACAGGCAGATGTTTCCAAAAGATTAAACTGTTAGGCCTGAGAGTGTCTCTGTAAGTGGGAACATGCTATCTCCCATTTCCATAAAGGATTCCCACTCGTGTCCAGGAGGGGAGAAGCAGTAGGAGGAGAAATTACAATCCCTCTTTCCCTTTCCCTTGCTGCCCCTCATTGGAGGAGGATAAGTTTCCATGCTTGACAGGTTGAGGAGAGTTCATCCTTTGTCCTCCATTAGGCCATGTTAACCTATTGGGTCCACCTCTCCAGCCTTCTTGGGAGAACCTAGACCTCACAGCAATGGCATTTGGGCCTGAGACCTGTGTGATAAGGTAGCTAAGTGGGTTTTTATTTTTCAGATAAGTCCTTGACCTTGATAACCCGGCAATGCACCATCCCAATGTGCTGGTGGCTGTCTCCCCAGTGGGGAGACAGCTATTTATTTCTGCAAATAGCAGAAATAAACCGTATATCTGTCAGCTTAAGTTCTATCCCTGAAAAGCCCCTTTGCTGTCATTGTGTGGAAGAAAGCACAAAGCATTAAGACAGGTGAGGCAACAGTTCTTGCCAAAATACAGAAAAAAAAAAAGTGACATTTTTGCTTTTTTTCCATCTAACATTGTACAGTTCCAATGACGGTGCAGTTTCCATAGTAGAATTCAGCAGTCTGCTTTTCTTTCTGCTTTTAAATACCTTCCAAGTCGTTTCTAGTAGAAATGCTATGGTATTGTAGCCGGAAGCCTTTCTTTCCTTCCCACATTTTGGATTATTATCTTAGGATAGATTTCCAAAAGTTGGTCCCAAGTTCCCCTGGACACTTTACACGTTCTTCTCTGACTCCCAAATTGCGCCTGTAGATGTGCTCTCATGTCCCTTTGCGTGACGGCCGCGCTGCAGAGAGCGTGGCAGAGGGTTCTCTGGTTGTCTTAGTGGTTTTCCTTTTATCTCCTGTGTTTGAAGGAGGGCCCAGCAGCTGACCTAACTCTCTCTCTCTCTCTTTTTTTTTTTTTTACTGGGGATTAAAACCCAGGGGCAATTTACCACTGAGCTACACCTCAAGCTGTTATTAATTTATATTTTGAGACAAAAACTTGCTAAATTGCTAAGGTGCCTGGCTTTCTCTTGCCTCAGCCAGTCACTGGGATTACAGGTGTCTACTACTGTGCGCCTGGACTGTGCCCAACGGAGATTACCTGCCTTGCCATTTGTGCAAACCCTTCAGCAATGTGACCCCCAACCCTTGCCCTCATTTCCCTATCCATAAAACCTTAAATTTATTGTCAATCCCTCAAAGACATTTCTAAGGACATGAGTCCCCCATTTCTTCCTGGTGTAGCTACATTAATTAAATCTCCTTTCCTCCTTTTTTTTTTGCTGGGGGGCGGGGGATGGAGCCCAGGGGTGCTTAACTCCCTGAGCCAGCACCTTTTATATTTTTGTTTAGAGAGAGGGTCTCACTAAGTTGCTGAGGCTGGCTTTGAACTTGCAATCCTCCTGCCTCTGCCACCCCAGCCACTGGGATACCAGGTGTGTGCTTCCACACCCTACTCCTTTCCTGCTTTTTACCATTACTTTATCCTTTGGTTTTGGGAAGCAAGTAACTGGGTACGATTTGTTGACACCTCCAGAGTCAGGCCTCTGGAAACATTTTCAGCTACTTTTTCACTTTCATGAGTTCTGTCTTAACACATTTTTTTTTTTTTTTTTTTTTTTTTTTAGCAAATTTTCTCCCAAACTTACTAAGTCCTGAGGGATGGTGATGACCTCTATCTGCTCCTACTCCAGATTTAGGATGAAAAGCTAGATGGAGTCAATGGAAGAGTGAGGATAGGAGGGGCAGGGGGACCCAGCTCACTGGTAGAGTGCTTGCCTAGCATCCACGAAGCCCTGGGTTCCATTTCAGCTCTGGAAGAAAAAAAAATAAAATAAAACATTTAAAAAGGAAAAAGCTACTGTTGCCTAAAAGCATGTCATGGGCTCCACCCTTCAGACTGACATTATTATTATTTTTTCCTCCCAAGCACTCCAGAAGGAAGCTGTACATTTTCCATACCAACAAGCTAAGAATGGAAGACCAATGAGCTGTGAGCCCAACTGCATTCCAAAATCAAAGAGCAGCGATGCCTACGATCTTCATTGGTTCCCACACTCGATATCTCCCAGACTTTTCTAAGATTCCTAATCTGGCAAGATCTTTTCTATCAGTGAGTTTTTAATCAAAACTATGCTGCATAGCAATGACAAAATCTCAGTTATGCTTAAAAAGAATTTATAATTGTTATCATTAATGCCAAGTGTATCTAAATTGCTCATGGAACCCCGGGTGGCCGGTGGGGCAGCCCTGTTGATCTTTGATAGTATATTGGTCTGTTTTATGTTGCTAATAACACAATATTATACAATGGATAAGTTCTAAAAGAGAGTCTTGGACTGGGGTTGTAGCTCAGGGGTAGAGTGCTTGCCTAGCATTTGTGAGGCACTGGGTTCGATCCTAAGCACCACATAAAAATAAATAAAAAACAAAAACAAAGGTCCATTGACATAAAAAAAATTTAAAAAATGAAAGAGAGTCTTCCTCCTCATAAAAGCCCTGCAGCTCACTTGCACCTGATTGGCCAAAGAAAGTTACATGAATGACAGTGACAGTCAGAGGTACTGCAAAGTCATATAGAAAAATGTGTGGACATAGGAGGACTGAGAAGAAATGAGCCACACAGAAACCTCCAGAACGAAGGGTCTATTAAGGTATGTGTTGATAATCAGCTTTGGGAAAGGAGGGGATGAGTAGGCAGGGACACTTTTATGTCCTCAGGGAGAGGCACAGAAAAGGCTAATATTTTAGAGATGAGTTTTAAGAAACTTTGCATGTCTTCAGAGCCCACAAACTGCAGGTGTCTTAGAGGCTGCCTGAGGCTGTGGCTGAGAGAAGCAAGTCAGCGAGGCATGCCACTTTCTCTGCAGGACATAGGAGGGAATCAAAGTTCATACATGAGTGAAGAGTAGATAAGAAAAGATACCTCCTTTCATTAAGCATTTGGGGGGACCTGGTCTTAATATATAGAATATATTTCATTTTGATCATCTTATTGGGCTCAATGTGTTCTCTTTTATGCTTTTCAGTGAAGAAACATGTATGCATGTATGTGTGTACTTGTGTGTGTGTGTGTGTGTGTGTGTGTGTGTGTGTTGGGAATTGTTCCCAGACTTGTGCATGCTGAGCATGCACTATCATTGGACTATATTCCTGGGCCCTATAATTTTTTATACAATTGAATTGCAGTTTTCATTAGGTTTACTGCTAGTGAATCTGGTGATTTTCATTTTTAGTACAATTGGGATCACTTTTTTTTTTCCCTACTGCATTTCAAACTTAGCTATTTCTGGTGCTTAGGAAAGCAATTAAAAGAATGAACTAAACTTATGAATATCACGTTGGTGCATCTCTAAAATACCAAACATTCTGTAATCTGTGTAACTTCAAAGTGAACACAGAACAATATTACATATAAGCATGGGGGTAAGGAAAGAGAGAGACTGAGAGAGGGACAGAGAGAGAGAGAGAGAGAGAGAGAGAAGAAAATAATGAAGGAAAGCAAGAAAGAACGTGGAGAGGGAGGGAGAGGAAAAGGGAGGGATTGGGCCTTTCTGACCTTATTGAACTTTACTTACCTTCTAAAAGGTACGATCTCCAAACACGGTCACTTTGAGGGCGAGGTCACTTCAACATGTGCATTGGGGAGGGGACACAATTGGATCCATAACATACACAACATTTGTTTAAATAAAAATATTTTTAAGGAATGAGTGACTTTGCGGTACCTTCTTATGTGTCTCTTTGACCAGGTCCCCTGCCTTGATGGATTATACCCTTGAGCCCAACCTGACGGTGACATCCGACTACTACTATCCTGACACCTTCTCGAGCCCCTGCGATGGGGAACTTATCCAGAGAGACAGCAAGTTGCTTCTTGCCATCATCTACTGCTTCCTGTTTGTATTTGGCCTTCTGGGAAACAGCCTGGTTATCCTGGTCCTGGTGGTCTGCAAGAAGCTGAGGAGCATCACGGACATATACCTCTTGAACTTGGCCTTGTCTGACCTGCTTTTTGTCTTTTCCTTCCCCTTTCAGACCCACTATCAGCTGGATCAGTGGGTGTTTGGGACCGTCCTGTGCAAGGTGTTCTCTGGTTTTTATTACATTGGCTTCTTCAGCAGCATGTTCTTCATCACCCTCATGAGCATGGACAGGTACCTGGCTGTTGTCCACGCTGTGTATGCTATAAAGGTGAGGACGGTCAGGACCGGCACAGTCCTGAGCCTGGCAGTGTGGCTGATCACCATGATCGCCACTGGCCCATTGCTCGTATTTTACCAGGTGGCCTCTGAAGATGGTGTTCTCCAGTGTTATTCATTTTACAATCAACAGACATTGAAGTGGAAGATCTTCATCCACTTTGAAATAAACATCTTAGGCTTGTTGATCCCATTCGCCATCCTCCTGTTCTGCTATGCCAGGATCCTGCACCAGCTAAAGACTTGCCAAAACCACAACAAGACCAAGGCCATCAAGTTGGTGCTCATTGTGGTTGTGGCATCTTTACTCTTCTGGGTCCCCTTCAACGTGGTCCTGTTCCTCACGTCCCTGCACGACATGCACGTCTTGGATGGGTGCATCCTGAACCAGCAGCTGATTTATGCCACCCATGTCACAGAAACCATTTCCTTCACTCACTGCTGTGTGAACCCTGTTATCTATGCTTTCATGGGTGAGAAGTTCAAGAAATGCCTCTCAGAAATATTTCAGAAAATTTTCAGCTACATTTTCCCCTCCATGGGAAGACAGATGCCCAGGGAGGGGTGGGAAAGGCGGTCATCTTCCCACCCTATGGCCTCCCGCTCCTCCAGCATAGACTACATTTTGTAAGGGGGGGGGGGAGCGTGTCTCCAAGTGTCCTCTGCCTTCATTGCCACTTTGCTCTAAAGAGATAAAAATGACTTCGGTGGAGGCTGTGAAGCCATGTAGGAAAACTCTTAGGAACTTTGGTTTAAGATACAGACATATTTTATATATTTAATCCATTCCTACTATTGCAAGTTAATCTCAGCTTTCAAAAACATTGGTACTATTCTGGAAATATTCTACATATTCCACTTTTTTATTTTTTAGCTTTAGGAGGACACAATATCTTTATTTTATGTTTATGTGGTGCTGAGGATTGAACCCAGTGCCTCATGCATGCTAGGAGAGCACTCTACCGCTAAGCCACAACCCCAGCCCCTCCACTACTAATTTTAATGCTAGCAGTAGGGTATTTTTTTTTTAATATTCTTAATCCGGTGCAGTGGTGCACACCTGTAATCCCAGCTACTTAGAAGACTGAGGCAGGAGGGTCACAAGTTTGAGGCCAGCCTCAGCAACTTAGCAAGAACTTGTCTCAAGAGACAAAACAAACCAACACCTTCCACAAAACCAAACCATAATCTTGATATTGAAGAACTTCTATTCTTGCTTCTTTGATGTCTTTATTAGGCACAAATTTAAATGTTATCAAATCCCTTTTTCTTATCTATTGATGTAACCATATAGTTTTCCACCATTGTTAATTTGTTTTATTACACTGATTTTAGTATCTTAAGTCAACCTACATTTTTCCTAAAAAATTAAAAATGACCCCTTGATCTTGGGATTCTTATATCTGTGTTCATTAGTCTTGAAGTTTCCTTTCTTTTCATGACCTGATCAGATTTGGCCTCTTAAAATGTATTGGGAAGTACTCTCCTTTTCTCCAGTTTCTAAAACACTTTGTGTATAAATTTGATATGATTTCCTCCTTGAATGTTTGGTAGAATTCACCAATGAATTTATCTGGGGTTCCTCTCCAGGAAAATTTCAAATTATGCACACACGTTCTGTGACAGAGTCTATTCAGTTTCTCCTCCCTTCCCCCTCTTTTTTCTTATCACCAGCCCTTTCCATTTTTATATCGTGAGACAGGGTCTTACCAAGTTTCCAAGGCTAGCCTTGAACTTGCAATCCTCTTGACTACTTCTCCCAAGTTGCTGAGATTACAGGCATGCCTGGATAGACTATTCAGATTTTCTAGTTTTGCTTATCTCAGTTCTGAAAAGTTGTGATTTCATTTTATTTGACAAGTCTACTAGCATTATACTGTCCTCAATATCTTCTCATTACCTTTTAAATACATGAGGAGCTAAGTAATGTCCCTTTTCAGCCCTGATACTGACAACTGGTATTCTCTTTCTCTTTTAGATCAGTCTTTGAGGCTTATCAGTTGTATTAATCATTTCAAAGAACCAGCTTTGGCTTTGTTGGTTTCCTGCCTCATCTGTTCATTGATTTCTGCTCTTATCTTCATCTTTTTTGCTTTCTTTGAGCTTAATTTACTGTTTTATAATAGTTTCTTGAAATAAAACCTTCCATCATTAATTGCCAATTGTTGTTCATATATTTAAATCTACAAGCTGAGTGCAGTGGTGCATGCCTATAATCCCAGCGGTTTGGGAGGTTGAGGCAGGAGGATTGTGAGTCAGTCTCCACAACTTAGTGAGGCCCTAAGCAATTCTGTTTTCTAAATAAAATTTAAAAGGGGCTGGGGATGTTGTTCAGTGGTAAAACACTCCTGGGTTCAATACCCAATACAAAAAAAAAAAAAAATCTACAAAATTCCCTTAAAGCACTGCCTTAGGTGTATCATGTACATTTTAATGTAATAGATCTTCATTATTTTTTCAGTTTAAATTATTTTCTATTTTCCATTGTGTTCTCCCGCTTATAATCATGAGTTACTTAGAAATTAATTTTAAATTTTGAAACATATGCAGACTCTATATATGTGTACACTTTCAGTTATTTGTAATTTGTTGAGAATTATTTTATGATGCAAGATTTGGTTTGTTTCAATAAGTGTTGCATTACACTTAAAAAGAATGGCCATAGTAGGGAGGGAAAGGGGGTCATGAACTGAAATCAATTTCCATGCATGTATGAGTTTATTGGGACGAAATCAACTACTATGTTTAAATATAAAGCTCTGAGGGGAAAAAGAAAGAAAAAGAATGGTTGTATTCTGAAGTTGTTGTCCATAGCTGATTAATTAGATTGTTCAAGACTTCTATACTCTTGCAGGCTTTTTCTTTTGCTTACTCTGTGAGTAACTAAGAGAAGCACATTAAAATCTCTAGCTGTGGTTGTGAATTGTCTAATTTTTTTTTTCATTTTATTTTAGGTTATTTTTTCAGTGTATATTTTAAAGCTACCTTATTAAGTACATACAAATAGAAGATTGTTATGCCTTTTTATTGAATTGGTCCCTTTATCATTTTGCAATATCTCTTTTCTCCAGTAATACTTCACTAGGCCCAACCTCTTAAAAATTCCTCATGTCGCAATAGCACCAAGCTGAGATCGGGTCTTTAATAGATGGACTTTTTTTGCGGGGGGGAGGTGCTACCAGGAATTGAACTCAGGGGTACTTGACACACTGAGCCACGTCTCCAACCCTATTTTGTATTTTTTATTTAGACACAGGGTTTCACTGAGTTGCTTAACGCCTTGCTTTTGCTGAGGCTGGATTTGAACTTGCCATCCTCCTGTCTCGGCCTCCTAAACCACTGGGATTACAGGCATGCGCCACCGCACCCAGTATTAGGAATTTTTGAGGGACAATTCAGATCCAATTCGTAAAGTCTACTCTATTCAGCATAGAAACACTGGCTTTCTTTTCATACGTATATGCATTGCTTAAACCAAATTACTATCCTATGACTAAATGACCTCTTTTGTAAGTATAATTTAGTTGGTGTTTTTTCCACAAACCGAGAGGGTCGTATTACCACAAGGATATATACAAAATCTAAAAATTGATAGACTCTACTGGAGGCACACACTTGTAATCTCAGCTACTTGGAAGCCTGAGGCAGGAGGATTAGAAAACTGAGGCCAAACTGGGCACCTTAGCAAGAACCTGTCTCAATACTTTGCCCCCTGCCTCCTGGGTTCAGTACTCAGAAGAGAGAGAGAGAGAGAGAGAGAGAGAGAGAGAGAGAGAGAGAGATCTAAAATATCACTTTTAGGTAAAATATTCTCTACAAAAGACTGACTTAACAATGTTTTTTTATCTTTTATTTTCTAGTTTAACAATATAATTTTAATTACAGACAATAATACATTCTGCAAGGTGCAAGGTTAGTGATCTACATGGGATGGTATTTGTTAGTCAACTTTCTTTTGCTAGAACAAAATACCTAAGATAAACAACTTTAAAGGAGGAAAGGTTTATTTTGGTTCACAGTTTTGGAGGTTTCAGTTCACTGTCACTTAGTTCTGTCATTCTTGGGCCTGTGGCAAGGCAGGACATCAGAGCAGGAGCACATGGCAAAGGAAACTGCTCATCTCATGGCATCTGAGAAGCAAAAAGAGCAAGAAAGGGGAGGGAACTGGGGACTGGATATGCCTTTCACTAGGCCCAATCTCTTAAAAAATTTTCATATTGCAATAGCACTACACTAAGATCGATGAACCCTTTTCTTTCTTTCTTTTTAAATAATTTTTAGTTGTCGATGGACCTTTATTTTATTTATTTATATGTGCTGCTCAGAATCAAACCCAGGACTTCACATATGCTAGTCAAGGGCTCTACCACTGAGCCACAGCCCCAGCCCAACATGTAGACTCTTGAGGGACAATTCAAATCCAAACTATAGTATCATGAGCAATATTCCCAAACTATAGAATCATGAGCAAGGCAGGAGGATTGCAAGTTGAGACCAGTTTGGGCAACTTAGTGAGACCCTGTTTCTAAAGGTATATATATATATATATATATATATATATATATATATATATAATGAAAAAATAAAACTAAATGATTGGGAGTTACTTGCCAACTTGGAAGTAGAGTTCTTTTCTATCCTAAGATAGAAGTTCTCTGGCATGGATTATCTGAAATCATGAACTAAACAATTACCTAAACCCAACTTTTAACTGCAAGATTGTGCAATGCTTCAAAAACCCATTCAGATACCAGGTTGTTAAAATAAAAAAATCATCTCTATAATAACCTTTAAAACAGACAGACCAGATAAGAGAAAAATTTCCCCAGGTTTCTAACTCCCATTTAATTATGACTCCAATATCAGTGGCACCATAGATTTCCCCAGGAGTGGACCAGAAGAGTAAAATCAAGGGTCTCGGAGTGGCGACTTTACTGCATTCAGTGTCCCCTTCTTTTTAAGTAGACAGAGATGGAGCAATCCTTACAGTGCAGGGAAGAAATACGGGAGGTTCTCCGAAGCGGAAGGGGCTTAGGCAGCTGCTGGGAGTCCCTCAGTCCCTCCTTTTACTTACAGGATTAGCTCCTTTGGTTAGGTCTGATCCCAGGCATCTAACTAACTTTAGATCTCCTAAAGTTAGATCTCCTAACTTTCCAGTAGTCAACTCCCCAAAAGTTAATCCTCTGCTTGCAGTTGTTTCGAGTGTTAGGCTTCCCCAAGAAGGCAGAGTGGGGACTCCTCTAAAGTCCCCTCTGGGGTGCCAAAATTTATGACTGAAAATTCGGTTCCCGCTCTTGAAGCCAATTAATGCCAATTTAATAATGAGGACAGGGTTTTGAGAAAAAGAAAAAGCGAGGTATCAAAGTTCTTAGATCCCCAGCAGGCATTTCCCTCTGCAGTGGGTACACTCAAGCCAACTAGGGGAAGAAAAGAAAACACTGCTTCCCTAATCTCGCTTAACAAAGGGGAGTAAAGTTTATCAAAGTTCTTTAAACCACAGCTAAAAGGGGTGTAAAAGATGAGAACAGAAAAGCTGGCGGTTCTATTGACTTTTGGTCCCTTACAGGAGAAGCATATTAGGGACAATTTAGGCTAAAATTTAGCTAAAGTTACCTCCACACGTCTAAGGCA